GGCACGCCCGGTGGGACACATCAGGTGAGTAATTATAATAAATATGCCTCCCAAGCTAAGAGGTTCAAAAAGTGGGACTACAGGTGACAATACAGACTAAGAGAACCAGCTATTCGGCGTAGGAGATAATGCTGATTCATCAGTTCCATCGGTGAAGTAAGGTCCCAGATGGGAGAATCCAATCAAATTTTGGTTTCTCAAATACATGAGATGAGATTAATGACTGGAGAGTTAAATCAAATGATGTATACTCAAATGGAGAAGATGTGTCAGAAGCTTGAGACCAGTATATCGGCTAACCAAAATCGACATGACCAAGCCGAAGCATCTCATGCCAATGAATCCATATTTCAGCGTATGTCGGCACCATTGATACATATATCCTAAGGGCCTCGAACAGCATCAACAGACATCATATCGCCAAATACAGGACTTGGTATTACAATCGGCAATGTGCCAAATCATACACTCGGCATGCCGATTGGGAATCACCAATCTTTTCAAATCCGCTGGCAGTAATTGTTTTGCCGGCGTTTTAGCCACCAGTGAATAATCAGCATAATCAAAATGTGCAGCGTCCACATGTACAGCCGATTCCAGTGAGAGATCAGCAAGAAGTGGTGGGAAACCTAAACCAAGATAGGGCTAATCTATTGATACCTCCGGCGACTGCTAAGGGGTAAGTAAATGCCGATCCACAAAGAGAGTGGGTTAATCCATTCATTCCGCGGCACCCAAATGATCCTCCAGGAAGAAATGCAAGGATCGATAGGGCTCAGATTCTAGCTTTAATACATGCTGAAGTGGCATAGGGTCATAGATGTGCTCAGCCGGTATATAAAAAGCCTTATCCTGATCATGTTGATGCCCATAAGTTGCCTAGAAATTATCGGTATCCTGGTTTTTCTATGTACTGTGAGGAAGAGAATTTTTCTACGGTACAGCATATTGCGATGCTCACAGCACAATATGGTGAAGCAGGTCCTAATCCTTGGTTGAGGATGAGGTTGTTCTCTAGCTCTCTTGCTGGGGCGGCATTTGAATGGTATAGTAATTTACCAGCAAACTCTATCCAGACATGGGATGAAATGGAAGAAGCTTTTCATACTCAATTCTACCGAACAATGACAGAAGCCACACTGGCAGACATATCTCAATTATCTTAGTTGCCTAGCGAATCGATTAAAACTTTTGTTGCCAAGTTCGGAAAAGCTAAACTCAAATGCTGAGTAAGTTTGCCAGAACCAGAATATATCAAATTGGCATTAAATGGTTTAGACATTGAACATCGTAAGAGGTTTGACGAGGTAGAGTTTCAAGATCTCTTCGGTTTAGCAGACAGGGCTTCTCAGTATGAGGAGATACTTAAAGAAGAGAAGAAGAGGATGAATTCTTCTAAGGGTACCTATTATAAGGACCCTAATTATAAGGTATTCTCGGCAGAAGTTGGAGATGAAGTGGAAGTTGACGTTGCAGATGACAATATCAAGAAGTCATACATTTGTAAGGCATTGGTTAAGCCTAAGCTGACCACGGGGGGCAACGCAACTTTAGCATTGACATCAGCAGCAAGGAAAGGAGTTGTCGATACCGTAAAAAGCTATTCTTTTGATTTTTCAAAAACTGATCAAATCTTTGATCACTTGATGGCCGAAAAAATGATATATTTGCCTAAGTGGCATAAGATTCCATCGGCAAGTGGCTTGAAAGGAAAATAGTATTGTAAGTATCATAACTCTTGGAACCATACTACTAATGATTGTACTGTTCTGCGAGGTGTATTACAGAAAGCTATTGATGAAGGTACTCTAAAATTTCAGGAGAAAACTTCAGACACTATGCAAGTGGATACCAATCCATTTCCTACAATCACATCCACTAATGTGATAAGCTTGGCCAAACGAGAAAATCGGCATGAGGCTGAGAAGGGTGAGTTCCTGTCATCAAATGCGACACCTAAAAAAATGGCAAAATTGCAGAAACAATTAAGGGAGGCTCAATTGGCCTTGATCAACCATGGTTGTTGTCCAAATTGCAAAAGAAGGCAAAAATCAAAGGAAGAAGAACCAGTTGAGGTTCAACCAAAGAAAAAAGGAATTCTTGAGAAGCTTACTTTCCTAATTAAGCCTGGGGAAAAGTCTCGGCAGAATGAGCTCAGTAGCAGTCTTTAAAAAGTGGGAAAGCAAAATTGGCAAGTATATGTATCTAGCCGATTCCATCCCCAAAATCGGCATCCCAGTTTTAAAAGGCGGCCGCCAGTTCAATCAGAAATTTAGGTACAAAAGGGAGCCGATTCATATAAAAGGCGAACTGTGAAACCAAGGACAGGCTCAACTGAAGATAGATGGACTCGAGTCAATCACCCAAAATTCTCTAAAGTTCAACAATATCAGAATGGAGGCCTTACTCGATCTCAAAAACGCAGGGAACAGAGGAGAAGGGCTGAGGAAAAAAGGAAAGCTGAAGAGGTAGGCAAAGAAGAGTTCACTGAGTAAGTCAGTACGGTAGATAAAAACCAACCGGATAAGGAGCATCAGCCCACATGGCCCAGACGAAAAAATGAGTTTAAAATTCAGTTTGGCAGTTTCCCAGATGAGATGTCATGTAACATGGCATTTGTATTACCAACAATGTTCTAGGCCCCATCGGCATCAAATGCAAGTACTGGAAATAAGGGAGAAACAGAAGATAAAAGTAAAGCAAATGAGAAAGAAACTCAGCCGATTCAAAATTTATCAATTCTCTCTTCAGAATCGGCAAAGAAGGTAGTCTTTGAAAAATCTTTGTTAGCAATGACTCAACAACTCAGGCCTTTATATGTTAAGGTATGGGTAAAAGGTCAACCTATTAATCGAGTCTTGGTAGACAATGGCTCGGTTCTGAATATTATTCCAACTAACATGTTGAAGAAACTCGACAAGAGTATGGAAGATGTTATTCCTACTGATATAGCAATTTGTGGGTTCAACGGAGGTTCTACTAGCACTAAAGGGATTCTTCCCTTAGAAGTCGAAGTTGGAGGAAGGACATCTTTTATGGCATTCTTTATTATTGAATCCACGGCTTCCTATAATTTGTTATTAGGCCGTGACTGGATTCATCCAAATATGTGCATCCCATTATCACTACACCAAATGCTGATTTTTTGGGATGGAAATAAGGTGAAAATAGTGAATGCCGATGATAAGCCATTTGTGGCAAAAGTGTACTCGGCAGATGCTGTTTTATATGATGAAGAATGTGCTCCTATTCGATTTATGGGAACATGAGCCGATGGAAGACCTACATCGGCAATAATAAGAAGAAATCTTGCCGATCGTGAAATTGGTTAGTTGCAACAGGAAAATTCCTGGCCAAAGGTAAAATTCCCTTGGCTGACTATAATTGAAGAAGTTGTCAATGGAAGCAAAACTTGAAAGAGAAGCAGCTCAGCAGCAGGCCTTTAGGGCCACTTGCATTAGGTTACAAGCATACATAGCCAAAAAAATGGCTGGAAAAAGAAGCAAAAATAGAGCCAGGATCATCAGCTAATCTTGTTGAAGTCGATCAAATCGATAATGAAAGGTTGGATGTTATTCAGTTGGAAGACTTGGAATTGGCACCAGCTAAGCTTGATGATCTTAAAGTAGAAACTCAGGATCCACTAAAGGAGGTGAATTTAGGCACTGATTCAGAGCCTAGACCAACCTATATTAGTGCACTGTTAGAACCAGAAGTACAAGCTGAGGTAATCGGCATGTTTAAAGAATACAGTGATTGTTTTGCTTGGAATTATGAGGAAATGTCGGGTCTATCCAGAGATCTGGTGAAACATCGGTTGCCCATTAAAGATGGTTACAAGCCATATAAATAGCCACCTCACCGAATGTCTCAAGAGGTGGTAGATAAAGTCAAGATGGAAATCGAACGATTGTTGGATGCTGGCTTCATTCGAACTACAAGGTATGTCGAGTGGCTATCGAATGTAATTCTTGTTATTAAGAAAAATGACAAATTACGAGTATGTGTTGATTTTCGAAACATAAACTTGGCAACCCCTAAAGATGAGTATTCAAAGTAGTTTACAGGAAACTACTTTGAATAAGAGCTACCTTTATTAAATTATGGACTAAAAAAATAGGCATGGCACTTTAAGTCATATCTTCACGCGAAAATATATATATATATATATATATATATATATAGACCCAATGATATTGACATGAAACCATGGACATGGGGCTCCATGGGTGCGTCTTTCCCCATTGAATTTATTTTATTTATATTTAACACCTATTATTGTTGAAGGCTGCCTTCCTTGAAATAATTTTTTAGACCCCCATCTCACTCGAAGGAAAAGTCATCTTGAAAAAAGAAAAAGAAAAATTACAAATACAACCAAATGTTGGTTTAACCCAAGTATTTCATGTTATTCCACTGCAACCTACCACAATTAATTGGAATAAGAAGTGAGATGAGATCACTCACTCCCACAATCAGTGTGAACCCCACTAAAAGAGTGGTCCCAAGCCTCACTTGTGAGCTAAGCTAATACTATTAATAATTGGAAATGAAATCCTAGATGCTGAAAGATGTCCAAAGAATAAAAATAGCCAACCAGTTTCAGGTAGACTTTGTTTTCCTTTTTATATATATACGCAGACGTATAAGGCTTTTCGCCGAATGTAGTCACTTACACCTCCTTAATCCGTGGCCTATGAAATTCAAACCAATGGAAAGAGGCTACAAGGTTGTTGAATGAAATGGTGAGCCGAAATATCAAACCGAATGTAAGAACCTTCACTATCGGTGGATGCACTTTGTAAGGAAGGGAAACTTGCAGAAGCAGTAGAAATAGTTGAAGTGATGATTCAAAGGGGCGAGGAGCCTAATACAGTCACTTACAATGCGCTGATGGACGGATTTTTTGCAAAGCAAATTTGATGAGGCAAAAAAGATACCTGATTTGATGGTTCGTAGAGGTCGTGCACTTGATGTTTGGAGCTATAACATCTTGACTAATGGATATTGTAAGAAGCAAAGAATGGCTTGAGGCTCTAAGTCTTTTTCATGAAATTTCTCAGATGGGATTGGTTCCTAATATTGTTACTTACACCACTCTTATAGGTGGTTTCTGCAATGTGGGAAAACCTCTTGTTGCAAAACAACTTTTAAAGGAGATGCGAGCCTGTGGCCAACATCCTGATATTGTGACCTACTGTACTTTATTAGATGGACTGTGTAAGAACCAATGTCTTGCCGAGGCAATGGCCTTGTTTCGAGAGATGGAAGAAAGTGGACTGCATCTTAATATTGTGGCTTACAGCATCCTCATTGATGGTATGTGCAGAGCTGGAAACATTAAAGATGCAAGAGAACTCTTTTGTAGTCTTTCTTCCAAAAGGTTGCGACCTGTTGTTTGCACATACAACATTATGATCAATGGGTTCTGCAAGGAAGGTTTGTTAAGCGAAGCAAACATGTTGCTCAAGAAAATGGAAGAGAGTGGTTGCTCACCGGATGCTTTAACTTACAATATAATTGTCCAGGGATTTCTTCGAAACAATGAGATGCTAAGGGCAATGCAACTTATTCAAGAAATGGTTGAGAAGGGATTCTCTACTAATGCAGGTACTATGACCCTGTTATTGAATTTATCAAATAATAGTGGATTGGATGAGTCAGTTTTGGAGATGCTAAATAAGTTTCTGTGATCTCTATTGGGTTCACTGATGTTAGGTAGAAGTTTTATATTTTGTTGGCCTTGCAGTGTGTTGTATGTATGGCCAATTGATGCTTGCATCAGTGTCGTTTTCATGTTTTTCGGGTGAGAATTGTTATTGTATGAGAAGTACGAAGAAAGAAAGCAAAGTTGCTGCTTAATGCTTTGGGTAGTGAATTTGTGGGAGATCTACTTCCTCCTTTGGTATGCCAGAATAGTTGAATATTTATAGGGTCATGTCATGCAACTGCCAACTGAGATTGGGGTGACTTCAAAGCTAGACTGAATTACCATCCAACAACAGTTTGTATATATATTTTTGGTATTGCATCTATGTGAACAAGGGCATAGCTTTAATTTGGTTGATGCACATGTGATGATGGTAATGGTATGGTGTTTAGTGTCCACAAAGAGGGTACCACTAGTCACATGGGTTCAAGTAATAATCTTCTTTTTATAAGTATTATCACTATCATCATCCTCCTTTTATCAAATATATATAAATAAAATACAATTACGAAACTGCACCTTCACTCATTCCATGGAATGTTGCAAGATATCCTATGCTCAATTGAATATATAAAAATGCAATTTTGTTGTGAAAATACAATTTCATAGTATTGCTTATTTAAAATTTAATTTAAATTAGTCCGAATTCATTTACTCTTTACATAATTTATTTTGCTGCGGTCCCCTCCCACATAATCTACATTTTGAAAAAAATAAATAAATAAATAAATAAACCACTTCCAGGAGGCCAATAAATAGTGGCAAATGGATCTGATTGTATTAGCTTTCAGTGAAATTGATCAAAAGGCAATGCTTCAATTATAGACTCAAGTACTATAAATTTGTGTGTAGACCGTCACCATCATGATCATCACACCAAACCCTTATTTTTATTTTTCTTTTTTTTTGGTTTAAATAGCATCTATACATACATACATATATATATACATACATACATATAAATGGTGGTAACCGTCAAAACATATGTCCATATAATAAAACCCAACTTCTATCCAAAAACTAAATTAAGAGCTCCAATCATAAAATATGCTACGTAAGGAAGGCTCTGTCAATTAACAATAAACAAAGGAATAATATAAAATGGACTTCTAGTACGCGCTTACACGAGTCCACCACTAAAGCTCCTCAAAGCACCTAAAGCAAACAAGTGATTCCGCAACCATAACAGCCAATACTTCAGCTCTTTTTTTACAAGTTAGCAGGAGTATGGGGTTTACCTCTGCAGTTGTGCCAGTAGCTCTTCCTCTATAGCGGGCGTACGACGAAGCAGTTGAAGACCTTTCCCTTTGTGCGTTAGCGGGATAATCGCATAGGTTATATAGCAGATAAGGTTCCAACAGAGACTTTGATCCCTCCTCCATCAAACCCTAGCATCTCTAGATCAAACCCGGGCCCAAGTCACATCCTTGCGAATGAATACCCTGTGTCATTGGATCATCCATCATGTAGGCCCCACAACCACATCCAATGGCTTGGAGACCCCGAGGAACGGTACTCCTGAGGTATTCTACAATTTTTCATGTTGTCCATTTCTCTATTTTTTTAAAATTTAAAATAAGTAACAAGTATACCTGGCTCATATTTTCGAACCACGGCTTAGAACCTTCTCCTTCCCCAGGGAGGTTGTCTTAATGTTGAGTAGGTCCACCTTTTTGGTGGTGTTTTCAGGCATCTTTATAGTAGTTGAACCTGTAATTGGAGCAGGTACAGGTATTTCTTGCTTCTTGCCTTTCCATTTCCAAATTGTCAATACAACCATCTGATTGTGATGACGATCACCAGAACAATGACTGAAATAAAAAATGAATCTTTAATTAAAAAAAAGAAAAAAAAGAAGAAGAAAAGGTTACACTATGCTTATAAAGAGAGAAGAAAAATTGACATGATTATCAACAAGTTTGCTCCTTGCCCTTTCCCCCTCCTTTCCCTTTTTCTTCTTCCTCCTTGTTCTTTCCCTTGGAATCCCTCTTCTCATCCTCCTCATCACCGGATGATGAATTGAGAGCAGTGGGTGTTACTTCAAAGTTTGCATTTCCTTGGTTATTAATGTTTGTCGTATTAATTGAAGTTTTCACTCCTGAGTTCAATTAAAGTAATTCTAAACTGAAACTGAAAATAGATGTAAATTCAAGATTTAACTGAGATATAAAGTACTACAGTACAAATTAATATATCTAACAGTCTAACTTTACCTACTTGTGCAGTAGCCCGAAAAAAAATGGCAACGAATGAAGAGCCAACACACCGAATGGAGAGCCGGGCACTTAAAGCGTTAAAGATTATCATATACATGCTAAAAAGTTTACCCTATTATAATCAAAGTTTAAGTCTGAAAATCAAAGAATCATTACCGAGTACATTGTAAAATATTCTGAGTGACAAACTTGAAAAAACAAGTTTGATTTGAGAACTATAATTTGTGCAAATTATTGTCAATTGCATTATGGATTTAGAATTGTGGTGACCACCCAATACTAGCTACCGTTTCCTAAATTCATCTACCAATGGATAAGCATTGGAAAATATCTGGAAATGGGATTATACACATGAGAAATAGTCAAATAAAGGTAACAGAAGAACATGATTTTAAATTATAATTAACAACTAAAAATGTAAACAAACTCAATAAAGATCAAACCAGTTTCTCATATTTGAAATTTATAGCAAAATTACAACTATTGTTCCATTAATACAAGGGGCAAAACAATTTACTTGTTCATAAATCATTTTTTAGATGAATAATGATTTAGAATTTGAAAGTCGGACAAACTCCTATCGATTTATGTGAGAAGATGCTGATATCATCATGGCATCATGATGACATCAACCTCTACCTATATAAAATTAGTCGGATTTGTTTGACTATCGAACTCTCTTGTCATAATGGTGTAGCCACTAAAACAGACTTTTTTTTTTTTTAGTCGTATATTTTGGTGGGAAGTGTGTGTATAATTAGTAAATATGCAAATCGTTAATACCAGTTGCTTACTTGTAGGGCAGAGGCAAAGTAGGGTTGCCTGTTGTATGCTATTTGCTAATTATATTGTATTGATTAGGAATAAATGTTGAATCAAAAGTCTGGAGAGAAATTCTGGAGAGTCATATAGTTGACTTTAAAAGGTGGGAGCAGGAGTTATAGAGTGAAGTTGAGTTGACTACAACATTAACTACACTTTGTTGGACCAAATATGAGGCAGCAAAACACATGCTAATACAAGGAGCGCAACAAAAAAATAAATACTAAGAAAATTGTGTAGTAAGACTGTTCACAGTTATATGTACGAGAGAGAGAGAAGTTAACACAAAGAAAATAAAAAAAATTAGAACATGCATATTTTGAAGATAATATAAGAGAGAATTGTATGGCCACATAACCAATAAATATAAGTAACTGCATCCATGAGAAAGAGTTAAATAGTGTCAATTGAGGGTAATGCTTAAGAAATGGGAAAACCACAATAACGTGAGATAAGATGACAAGGAAAGACATGGTAATATGAGATTTAACTTAAGTTATGGCCTCAAAATGGCGCTGAATGGTAAACAAGATTCAAGTAGCCACTAATGCGCGGTTGGGACAAGACTTTGTTGAGTTGAGTTATCCATTCACGTTTGCTCTTTCAATTAGGGCTCAAATAAAAGGTTCTAAAGACCTGATTAAGGAAGATAAAAGCATAATAAGGGAACAAGAATTGTTCTGAATTTATTTTCTACCTTTCATTCTTAAAGTTTATTTCTAGAAGTATGCCTATCTTACAGTATACAATAGGAAGATGATCTGTTCCCCAATGTCACTTTGTGGATGTCTTTTTTTATGCAATTCACCAATGTAAACAAGATTTATTTATTGAGTTAATCCCTACAAAATTTGTCCACAAAACATCGTTAAATAAAATATAAACCTATACAAACATGAGAGGGACCATGCTAATTCCATAATTGAGCTCCACACAATTATCAACAAAGACTGAAAGATAAACTCTGTGTTTATTCAAGAATGGTCCTAATCTATATATCAGAAAGTTAAAAGGCTATTAATTACAATACAACCTTAGCTATTTGATATTAGTACTCATTACATTTACATTTTTGGAATTCCACAAATTATATTTTTTTTTCCCAAAATAAAATATGTACAAATAAACAAGGACCAAAGTTTATACTTTCCAACAAAAAAAAAAAAAAGACCAAAGTTTATGCAGAAATGAGATTTGATAAAAACCCTATGAGTTGCAAGAAAGGGTGAACCTTGTCTAAAAATCCCAGCTTAAGGTTTGAAAAAAAAAATGCAATTTTTTTCAAAAAATAATGATAATAGAACACCTGAGGACAAAACACTCAGAAAACAATCTCATGAGTAACGGAATTGCAATATCAATAGCTGCTCTTGCAATAAGAGCATAAGAGCTTAACCTTTCATCCATGCATAGAGAAGATGAAACATCAAAGCCAATCAATATTTTAAACTATGACAACGATTATGACGATTTCAGTATAACAAGAAAGGAAACTGGTAAAACAGAGAAGATAGGTTAAATTGCCTACCAGCTACAGAAGTCTGAAAGTTTCAGTCATTATCATCACTGGACACTGAGGCAGAAGAGGCTATATTATAAAGTAATGTTAAAAATTAATAAAGAATAATAATCCTTAAACAAGTAATAGAAAAGCAAAATAGAGTGTAAACATCAGAGTTACCCTTTAATTCAAACTCTACAATCAAGGCAAAGAGATTGGCTGCCGCATTTATCCCTTCTGGTGGGAGTAATATATTTTGACCAGTAGTACACAATGGCTGCGGATGAATGGCAAAAACTTTTGAGTTTATGAGCTGCTATTGGACAAGTAGAGGAAGAAAAATGTACTTAATAAAGCAACTGTCATATTGTTCAAACCTCATCTTACATCAATAATACTTGATAACCTTTACCCATAATAACAATGCTTCTAACGCAGAATGAGGATTTGGAAAAAAATAACCATCAAGCTACCCTACGATTCTTTCCAAATATACAGATAAATGAAGGAATGAGAGTGTTTTCAGAATTGCATGCACAAGTGACAAGATACTGAAAAAGTAAATAATGGAACATATAACACAAGAAGTGCCATCCAGGTATCTAATAAAATATCACGTGCCACCCAACTCCATGTCTCCTCTTCAGTGTAATTTACCATAAGAACTTTTATAACTTCACACATCAAGCCAGACAACAGGCTAAGAGTGCCAAAAGGCCTGAACATCAAGGTAAAGAATCAACTTGTGTAAAATTGTGAACAAAATAAAGTATGTCATAAAAGGACATTGTAGTGTGAATGCAACTCTAATTAACAAAAAACATTAAATTAAAGATATATATTGAAGGGCCACAAGAGAATATTACAAAGCTGACCGTATAGATTTCAAGAGTTGGTCAAACACAAGGGGATTAGTTACGGTTGCTATTGACAGAAGTGCACGGCAACCATCAAGCATCTTACTGAACAGAACAAAATAACAGGTAAGACATCAAAGGACAAGTAAACATAGAAAGAGGGTTGGTACTACAGGAATATAACCTTTCACTTTTTCCACAATCGATTGCTTTTGAAATGGCATCAGGAGGATCAATCCACTGAATAATTCCACATAGCAGTTGCCTAAGGTGCTGTTCTTGCATATGCCCACTATCTAGATTTAAAACAAATTAGTAATTATAAGAGACAATAGATATTAGTAGGGAGAAAGAAAGATAAAAAGGCTTGGAAGGATTAGGAATCCTTCAGGTTAGGTAAAAAATAAAAGACCAGAATAGGTAAAACAAAATAATATCCCCATGACCCCTATTCACCAAAGCGAACACCACATAGCAAAGCTCCCTAAAGTCAAACTTAAGGAGGTAAAACTGACCTCTCCCTTCTTGGCCAAGTAATCAGCCTGATCATTGGCAGATCTAGGAAATTATCTTCTGGCCTAAAGAGCTGTGAAAAATGTCCAGAACCTCTCATGGATCAACCATAATGACACAAAACCAGAGACAAAAATCACATATAATCAATAACCACCTCGGTATTAAGCTCTATTAGGCAGTGCGTCAAACCCATAAAGGCATGAGACCTTACAAGAGAACTAAGATGGTGAAACCGGCATCCAGCTGGTCCAACAGAGTATAATAGAGCTCCCCATAGCATCTCTGAAAATATCTCCGATACCAATTTCCCCTGGATTCCCTAGAGAACTGTTGAAATATATATATATATATATATATATATTTATATTTATATATTAGGTAACAAGAACAACCATCAAAATTATGTTCAATCTGCCTGTGGATGGGAGCTTCAAATTTACGCACATAAAAGAACAACAGTATTAGGATATTCCTACACAAAATTAGGGTTGTAAGACAAAATGTCTTGACTTAGTTGCTCTATAACTGAAGAAGATATTAGTTGTTGGGGATGTAGCTCAGATGGTAGAGCGCTCGCTTAGCATGCGAGAGGTACGGGGATCGATACCCCGCTTCTCCAAATTTTGATGGATTCCAGTTTTTCACAATTAACATTTTCAAATAAAATAAATAAATAAATAACTGAAGAAGATATTGAATATGATGAAGACAAAGAACATAAAAATTTATCAAGTTTGTGATGTTGTGGCCCGAATTTTGTTTCGACCCAAGTCACGTTGCGGGTTGTGGACCCTGTTTAGGACTCTCTTGTAGCCCAGTATATAAGGGTGTTTCGCAGTGTTTGTTGTAACAAAGTTCAATAATATATCTAGGTTAAGGTAAGATAAGACCTTAGAAGACATAGGAATCTAGGTTGAATTAATCTATCAAATATTTGGACCTCCGATGACCTAGATTGGAGTGTTAAAACGCTCGTATTGAAGTTACAAAGATATTTTGAAAATAAAATCGAACTCTTTATGGATCAATAGAACTTTAAACAGGATTTTATATGAAAACCAGAAGGCAGAGATCGATGTTCGATCAGACGTCAAACAGGGTCCAGAAACAATTGTACGAACTTGCTGTGACTACCAATTGATGGCTGATGGAGTTGCTTTGATCAAACCAATCGAATGCTCAATAAGATGCACTAACCAAAACACATAAAGGACATTTGATCAAAGTAGAATTCATAGCTTTTTGCTCGACATATTGAGTTAGATCATAGAGCGCTTAAAGAAGACGGATCATTACTTATTCTATTTGATGGAACTTATTATATTACCAAAACCAAGAATGACGGTAGTTTTCTCTGAATGACAAAAAAATGGTATGTTATTGAAATGGGATGGATGCAACCAACTAAAACCGTTGATGGGGAAAATGAACAAAACCAAGAACTAAATGAGGTAAAAGTGACGATGAAGGTTGTAGTGTGATTTCTAAAGGCTTGAACGCAATCTTTAGTGCAGTGAAACCAATTTCCTCAGATTTTTATGTGCATTACATCTATAAGAGCTGGAAGATATCAGAAAGACATAATGAAAATCAGCTACTAAAGTCTCAAATTTACAAATGTTAACAACAAAATCTAATATGAAGAAAGGAATAATGAAAACTTACCAAAGTAAGGAAGAAAAGGAAACTTTTGATGAGTTCTATGGAAAAACTAACGATATACTAAATAGCAGCCATAATAAAATAGGGAAAAAATTCCTGAATGTAAGGTTGTAAGTTAGAGAAGCGACATTGAAGATGAAGAAATAGCTTTTACAAGAAAGTTGCAAAACTTCTAAAAAATGAATCTGAATTACAAAAATTTCAAAAAAAGGAGAAAGTGCAAAACAAAAAACCATATCATATGCAAAATGTGCGAACCCCCTCCCCCCCTACATTTTTCAAACTGAGCAAATAAAGACCTAAAATGCCCTTAAGGCAAAAAAAAAAAAAAAAAAAAAAAAAAAAAAAAAAAAAAAAAAAAACCCATGACAACTCTCACCTCTCCTCTCTCTTAACAGTCTCTTTCTCTCTCTACAGCATCCCTCTTTTTTCTCTCTCTCTTATAAACCATCTCTTACACTCTCTTATAATTTCTCTACAATAAAATCACATAAACAATTGAAAGCAGAGACACCACTCTTTGTTCATAAAATTGAATTAAAAAACCTGAGAATTGATCTCCCAAAACCCACCACAAAGAACTGGAAATTGATAATTTCAAGTTATGATATTCCATGTTAGTATATAACTATACATACATACATACAAACACACACACACAAATGATTAATTTGTCAATGTTGAATTTGACTAAATTTGTTCGTATTCTCTGTTATCGATCTATGTTTGCTTTGGAAAACAGAAATATGATTAATATATTTGTCAATATAATTAATAGGCAATGTCGAATTTGATTCAGTTTGTCTCTTTCTCCCCCCCCCCCCCCCCCCCCCAAACCCACCTCCTCCTTTTTTGTGATCTGAGTTTGCTTTGGAAAACCAAAAATCAGTTTTGACTAGGTATTAGTAATACTTGCAGGCACCCTGTCACACACTCACACACACATATATATAGAGAGAGAGTTATTGAATCTTTATTGTCATTACAGAGGTGGGTAATCAACAGAGGATAAGTACTGACCTTAATGCCATCATAGGTTTGAGGAATTTTTCTGGAGAAGACTAATGCTGAATGAAGAAAGCAGTTATGCCTGCAGTTTGATATGGTTTACACTGATTAATCTTGAAGAAAATCATTTTCACTGTTAATATAGAGACATTCTATACTTCAGGCATAAAAACAGAGAGAGAGAACACACAGAAATTTGAGAGAGATAGAGCAAGGAGAGAGTTTATTAGGGGTATTTTGGGGTTTTTATGAATTATTTTGGTCAAAATTGACAGTCAACGGGTATTAGGGGGCAATTTGCACATATTTTTCAAATGTTAAGAGATTATATGCTCATACAAAACAGGAGGGGTGGTTTGTGCACATTTTGTATATAAAAGGCGGGGCTTTTTGCACTTTACCCAAAAAGAAATTCTTCAAAATATAAGAAAACATCATCAGAGAAAAAGAAGAACGACGGTGATCAAACAAATGAAATAAAATGTTGGAATTGTAACAAAAAGGTCATATGGCAAGTGATTGACCTGGAAAGAGAAAAAAAGAACTGAAAAGAAGCATCAAGAGCCATGACTGGAACACTATCTAATTCATTTGCCATATTGTACACATATTGCACATTTTGGTGATCTTGCTAAATTATAAGTGCAAAAAAAAAAAAAAAAAAAATGTAAAAATATATTCAATCAAACACAGCCACCATTTGATTATTTCCAATATTTCGATCATTAAAGAAGTGGCTTTCCTTTGACACCCAGGTCCACGGCATCTCTTTGATGGACCGATGAAACTCAAAAAAGAAAGAGAATTCGAGTGGTGATCTGGGACTGATTATGTAACTGCCTTCTTGTTGCTTCCTGACCATGATTTTTTCTAGGCATTTCACCATACCCTCATGAGTGATCGATCTTCATGCTAGTGCGATGTCTCAGGACCAACTCCCTTAAGAGATAGTGCCGATAGGAATCCGCAAAGCGCGCGTAATCTTTCTTCAAATAGAGTGCACAATTTTGCCTCACCTTGAAAGGAGATCTGATCCCAGGTTAGCGACGGAATGGAATTGGATGTGTGGGGTTTGGTTGGTTGCTTATTTAGGGAGGAGAAACGTAGATTGAAGCTTCGATAGGGCTTTGCTTGCCGAGAAACATCATTAGCATTAGCACTAGCGCTATTATTTATATTCGACGAAATGGCTATATCCTTGGCTCGGAGCATTCAAATGAGAGAACGTGAATCGCAGGTGAACTGCTTGGAGAAGTCAAGCCGCTTCCTAATTCGTCTTGTGGTACCAGATGGAGAAATGGTTCAAAAAATATATAATACAATACACTATTCAATAAACACAGCCACCATTTGATTATTTCCATTTTAACATAATATCTTGTTCATATGAGAGCAATAATAATACAAATATAGCAAGAAATAAGTGCCAACAAACAAGGCATGAGATTAAACAAATAAGACTACCAAGAAGCAGGTAGAAGAGAAACATATACCAGATGGAAATATTGTTCCTGTCAAGGCAGAACTGTACGATAAGTTTTCGAGCAGAGACTGCAATGGGGCAGTCAAGCCAGTAACCTTCACATGAAAACTTCTGTCTCAACGCAGCGTATAAGCTCAAAAGCTGGCCAATGTGACCACTCAAAATCAGAACATCATGCGAAGAAAAACCAGTCTACAAGCAGCATAAAGAGAGAATTATAGACTGTTAAGAAATTTATCAAGGCCAGCCAGTAAAAGATAAGGAGGTAAAACTATATTAGTGACATCTAAAATGATATATGAATGTTACGTGAAAGAAGGATTTTTGAAGATAAATCAACTTCTGCAATAGTAGGAACATAAATGAGATTATTCCCATACTAGAATTGAAAATTTTTTTTTTTTTCCCCAGAAAGTACCTTTAATTTTTGGAAAACAAATGTCAGGAAAACTGAAAGTGTCATCAGCTGGGAGAATGAAGTAACCAAATGTACAGACTTTGATCTACTCTAAAATGTTCTATTACCGGTATGTCATTTTATGTATTACATATATGTGCACGAAACAGATTCAAAAAGAGATGTTTACTACCTGCACTAGGACACAATCAGACCTCTTGGCTGAGGCACTGTTATGTCTACTTGCAGCAGAAAATACATTCATCCCATTTTTCGCACCCTCAATTGCATTTGTATTATACCGAAAGTCCCTGTTCAGGATTTGAAGCATGAACGTAGTGCTACCGAACACACATTAACCTCAGGTACAGCAGAATTAGATTCAATTATTCTATTTGTGACACTTACAGCAGCATCTTGTGCCCAACAGTAGAATGTCTGAATTCAAAAATATTAGAACCTTGAAATGAGAGAAAGAAGCAATAACTGTGTTTATAACACGAATAAAAAAAATTTGTCAAAAGATTGGCCCATACTACAAGAAATACTAGAAGGGAAAAGCAACTATTGAAAAAAAAAAAAAAAAAGGCAGACAAAATGCCAATGGAAATTAGAAGACCTTAAAATAGTCCAACTCCAATGATTTCTGGCACTGCTTGTGAAACTCTCTAGGGATGCCCATAGCAGTGAAGTAGAGGGTGCAAATTCGGAAACCTGAAAGGACAATTCTTAGTCACAAATTTTGGTTGCCCAGATGTGAAAGCTAAAGAAGAAAACAGCCAAGATTTGGTATTCATATGAAGTAATAATCAATTTGTGTGATACTATCAATGATTACAGGAAATTGATTCCACTGTACTGCACATCTAGTCCATGGCTTCTAGAAACAGCTCATTTACCTGTGGGTGTAGAACTATTAGAAACTTAAAGAAAATACTAAAGAGAAGATCACAAGAAGCTTAGACAAAATGTAGAGTCAAAACAAGTAAATTGAAAGGTTTACATACATTGTAAAAATGAGAAAGATGTTGAAAATTCACTAGGACATGAACATTAAAGTTAACTTTAACCTTTCCCAAAAGAATTAATGACACCACTATTTTCCATGAGTAACAGGTGTTCTGTTACATTTATGGATGTATGATCGCACTAGAAAACTCAATGTAGCCTGCCCTGGTTTATGGGAGACTGTGATTATAGAAAACTTGTACCTTTAGTGTTTGAAAAGGTAGAAGAAAGGGGGATATATTGGACTATGGATGCAAGAGCATTGGAATTGACACACTTCTCAAATTGATCATTACTGGAAACTACGGACAATTGGTTGCTAGAAATTCCTGACAATAGTTAATTATGGGTTTTGGACTTACCAAAAAAATTATGGGCTTTGGAGCTAAGTCACATAGAACGGGAATGAAAGCGCAAGAGCGGCATATCCCAAAAAATCTTAGAGCGGGAGCGCCGCGAGAGTGCCGATAGTAAATATATGTTTTTAAAAAATTTCATGCAAATAAAAAAATAGAATAGTGAATCAAATATGAGTCCATTACAACCAATATAACCTGCTTTATAAAAATGCATAAATTAACAAACATGACAAACAAACGAGCTGCTTTATAAAAACAAAAACATAACAGTGAATAGGGCATAACAGAAAAAGCAATGTTCAAAAGCATTGTCTTTTATACATTTAACCTGCTTTAAGCTCTCAAGATGACAATCATTGTCTCGGAAATAGCAATGATCAAAAGCAAAAGAAAAAGACAACAATACTTCAGTTTGCAAATTCTATTGCTAAACTTTAAAACAGACATGAAATATTCAAACTTCCAAACCCAAAACCAAAATGAGACTACAAAAACAAAATGTTAGAGACTATTTTACTGCAATCTAGTTGATCCGTGGCCTCTTGCCTCAGGAAATTTCCTCTCTACGGCTTGTTTGAGACATGTTAGCCCCTTGAGTGGATGGCAAAGAAGTACTAGATGTTGCATTATCTAAAGAAGAACTTGAAGCCTCAATCTCATCAGCATAAAGTGTAGCCTGCTCCCTTTTATCGATACTTTCTAAATCATTATCCAAATCATCTTCATAAGCAAAATCATCCCAGTTCGTGTAAGATTTCTCATAGTCTTCTCTATACCTTGTCAACAATCTGTTGTTGTAATGAACATAAACTAATGACTCAGCACGATCAGCATTCAATTTATTTCTTTTGACACTATGGATATACCCATAAGTACTCCATACTCTCTCTGCACAAGATGTGTTTACAGTTTGAGATAACACCTTAATTGCTAAAGCATAAAGTTCGGGAGCTGCAACACCATATAAGTTCCACCAAGCTACTGCACTCATCATTTTTCTATCTTCAATTGATTGAGGTCGAGCAAAAACACCTTCATCACTTGTGAAATCACTAAGTTGTTGCCGAATTAAAGGTGCATCTCGAGGATCTCTCACAAGTCTATCAACAACATTCAAATAGGAACCTTGCACAAATAAATTAGCATGAGGCTTCATCCTTTCCTTTCCATTTGGACCTACACTTGTCAACCAAGAGTTAGAATAATAAAAAGGAGTAAGCACATAAGCAAGTGTATGTAAAGGAAGATTCATCCTTGCCCATCGTGCGATAACTAGAGCTTTCACTTCTGTACACATCTCAAATTTGTTAGATAATGCCGCTTCAATATGTCCCAGCATATCCTCCATTCTTTGGTAAACCTCTCCAACAACTGCTCTATCAGAGTCACAAAAACGAATCATGTTCCAAATTGGTTTTGTGAATGACAAAACAAATTTTAGATCTTTCCAAAACTCATCATCTAGCACAATTTTTTTAATCTGATCATGTTCTAGCTTTGACCTTGAGGTTCCTTTCTTAAGTGCTTCCCACTCTTCAGATAAAACTGCACTTATCAAAGCATTTTTCACCCGAAAAAGACGATCTAGCACAACAAAATGATGACCAAATCTTGTTTTCTTCACTTGAATTACTTCTAAAGCAGAAAAAGTCCTGAAAATGTACAGAGCAAAACTATGATTTTTTATATAATTCACCACCCCTTTTGCCTTGGCATAACAAGTACCAACCAAAGTTAATAACGGGTTTGTTGAGTTTGCAATATCTTTCATGAGAAGACTTAATGTGTGAGCCATACAACCAGACCAAAGAATATGAGAATGCCTTGCTTGAATTATATCTCCAGCAACCTTGCAAGTAGATGCATTATCAGTTAAGATTTGCACAACACTATATGTTCCCACTGTTTCAATAACCTTGAGCAAAATCTCAGAAATATATTGTGCAGTTTTTTCATCCCCAGAGCAATCAACTGCAGTAACAAATACAGGCCTACCTCTTGAGACAGCCAACACATTAATAAGCGGTTGATTTTTACAATTAGACCAACCATCAGATACAATTGAAACCCCATACTTAGGCCAGTTTTGTTTGATGGGCATCAATGCATTATCAATTTTAGTCCTCTCTTTATCAAGCAATATGGTTCTTATTTTCTCAGAACTTGGTGCTCTGTATCCTCTTGGAGCATTATTAATGGCTCTCACTGCATCCGTCCAAAGAGGGGATCTTGCTACATTAAAAGAAATTCCACAACTATAATAATACCTTGCAACTATACTATCTGTTTCATCTCTAGAGGATAATTTGAACAAGTTACCAATATTTTGTGTGCCAAGTTCCCCTACTGAATTGGCAGTGGAAGAAGGTGGAACAATTGGTAAACTAGAAAGAGGAGGCTTGCGTGAATTACTTCCATAAAGACTTTTAGCTGCAAGTTCTTCCTTTTTCATTTTTTCCCTCTCATCTTTTTTCACTTTAGAACAAATTGCAACTCCTTGTTTTTTTTGTCCAGGAAACAATCCAATTAAATGGGCTCGAACACGAGAATAAGTGCCAGTATAAGGTTCAGATTTACAACCAAAATTGCATATCCATTTATTATCCTTTTTAGTTCCAACCATTGTTACATACCTTCTTAATGGGGTAGAAGTTATGTCATCCAATGATTGGTGCTCTTCACCAACTGAATTGTCCATGGAAATAGAATCCAAGCCCTCTGCTCCATCAACTTCATTCATTGTAATCCTACAAAGTAAATAAAAAATTAGAGAGTGCAAAATAGTACATTAAACGCTTAATAAAAAATAAAAAATAAAAACTGCTAGAAATTAGAAGTTAGAACTAAATGAAAACAAGTAGTCTGATAGAAAGAAAAACCCAAAATATATGGAGAGAGAGTAAAAAATACAGAGTGAAAATCAAACCAAATAACAACGAAAAAAAAAACTATACATAGAAAAGGAAAGATAATGAGTTACTCGGCCATCCTTATTCCTTACTCCTTAACTGTTATTGCTCTTCAAGATATCAAAGACTTTGTTCAAATCCTTCTTTCAGTTCAAAGAGCCCTAAACGTAATAGCAGAGAGAATATGAAATGTTGGAATGAGAATAAGAGTGAATCAAGAGTCAATTACTCAAGAGTCAAGACTTTGTTCTCTCCATTCAAAGAAAGAAGTCAAGAACCCTACACTTAATAGCAGAGAGAAATCAGAGATTTAGAAATTCAGAATATGAAAAGTTATTCATTCATTTATTTCTTTACTAATAAATATTGTCTATTGAAGGTAAGTATTATTAAATATTAAGTTATTAACTCTATTATTATATTATTTGACCTATAAAGGACAGAGTTTACATAATTAAATTAAATTGGTTACTTTTTGACATAATTAACCTTATTTGGTCTGTTTAAGTTGGGGGTAAAATAGAAACTTCTCAAGATTCACACAAAATCCGTGAATTTATTGTCCAAAGTTATCGAATTCTTGAACAAAATATGCGATTTTACCTTGCACAAATCGTCGAATTGAATTTTAAAAACCGCCAAATTCTTAAATTGAATTCGTGAATTCCTAATTATGAATTCGCAAATTCAAAAACATGAGAGCGTGAATTTTTGGCGAATTTGCTCTTAAAACGCCGATTCGCGCACGGAGCGATGGAGCGCCAGTGGTTTGAGCAAATTATGTGACTTAGCTTTGGAGTCCTAAATTAGAGTCCCAAAGGGTAGGGTAAGGGTTAGTAAAGAAGGACAGCTTTAAAAAACATGCAATTAGCTGCCTAAAATTAGGTTGATGATGGTCTAAGATTGTGAAAAAACATGTAGGTTCAGGGTTCAAAGAGGTAGGAAGGAGTTTCAAGGCTGTGTCGATAGGTAAGGATTGAAACCATGTTATGAGACAGACTCAACCGAGTCTCTGCATCGGAAAAGTCTGAGCCCTATACTCATTGATATATTAGCGGGAATTGGAATCACATCAATCTCATTCAAGTTCCATGAGAATTGGCCGTCTAATACAAGTCCCAAGGGACTCCATCGAGTCAGAAGCAGCACATCTAAGGTGCGCAAGGCCGAGAAAATTTCAAGACCACGATTTCTGATACCGCTAGGTAACGCCCATTACACCTGCATCCTTATCTTCCGCAGCGTCCACAACTTAAAAGTTAAAACCATTGGACTATGAAGTGGTAGATGATCAGACTATCAAGGAAAAGTGAGATTCAGTTGTTGTATCATATGCACCTCAACAAGCTGTGAAACTATTCTTGAACAGCTCAAAGCTGAAGAGAAATAAGATATGTCACCAAATAAAGAGTTAAGAATAAAAAACCCATGATTTGTTGTAGCCAAAAACATTACAAGAAAGAGGTGGAACAATGCAAGATGTGATCAAGGCAAGATCACATAGCCTTTAGATCAAGTGGTAGCTCCTCATCCTTCCATATGGGAGGTTAGGCGTTCAAGTCTACATCGGGCCATAGTACGTGTTTGTTGAGTTGAGTATCTGTGATCCTACTTGAGAGAGAGAGAACTTCGAAGTCCTGCTCCAGATTTATGGAAGAACATGATGTTACAGAAAGTTCTCCTACCACTGATTTCATTATTCCTGACAAACTCACCAAAATAATCGAGAAGGGAATGGAAATTAGTATTGCTACCACTGAGAAGGGAAGCCAGACCTGCAACTCCAAAGTTTTTATCTCCAGCTACATATACAATTCTGGATTTGAAACACTTCAAACACTTCATTTTCAAAACTGAGCATATTTTTCAGATTCTCCAACTGAGGGAGAACGATACGGATCAAAAGAAGTCCATTATAAAAAGTCCACCATGGCACCGCTTTCTATATCCCAGAATTAAATTGCCAAATACATCTAACTTGTGTTTTTGGGGGTTGGTTGTGGGGTGGGGGGGGGGGGGGGGGGGGGGGGGGGGTGTTGTTTGGTTGTTGAAGAGAGAGAGAGAGAGAGGAGAGAAAGAAAACAGAAACTGAACTGCAAGTTCAAAATTAGAATCCTGCCATATGACTACATTGATCCTTGAATCTGGATTTGCATTCTCTTGTCATACTTTCCGAATATGCACATCATATTGTTTCCATAATACAAGAAGGAAAGTAGAAGAAACAATTAGACAACCAATTGTATCAGATGATGTTCCCTGCATTCCTGTTAATCTATCTGTAATACCCCTACTTTAAAAAGGGATAAAATTGGAATTTAAATGTTATTTTATGTGCATTTTATTTTATTTATTAATTTTATGAATAAATGTTTATTTGTGTGTATTAATTGATTTATTTGTTAATTATTTATTTTCGTTTATTATCTTTGTTTAAATTGTCTTAGTTGAATTATTTAACATTATTTGCATTAATTGACTTAATTGGATAATTTGATTTAATTGATTTATTATTGTTTATTTTAATTAAGGGTGTAATTCTTTATTTGTTGGTTTATTTTAATTACTTATTTTATTTATTTTATGTATTTTAAGTGATTCGTTGCTTGCTTGATTTGATTTAATTAAATTAAGGATTTAATTTTTGGAACAGGGTAATTATGTAATTTCCATTAACTAGGGTTTTAGATACGTTTTAGTTAGGGTTTTTGGAGCCGTCTCATAAGCATCTGATATCTAACTAAACTCGGATTAAGTTTAGGGCTTTATCTCAATGTGACAAGGATTAGGGTTTTAGTATTTAGTTTATAAATACTCCATTATGCGTTAAGTTAGGGTTTTACGATATATCACATAGCATATACACGTAGAGAGTTCTGCAAAACACAGAGAGATGCAGAGTAAGGGTAAGATAACAGAGCAAATTGTGAGTTCTCGACTGAGGTTTCAAAGCCAAACCAAGGAGAAGGGAAACACAGAAGTAATAGGAGGCTAAGCAGTATTTTCAGTGTGGCCAGAACAGAGGAAAGCAGACCAACTATTACAAAGGCAAGTTCTATCTTCCTCTTTCCCTTTGGGCCGTGTTCTGTGCACCTAGATAATCTCTAGGGTTTAATCAAGCAGAAACTGGAATTGATATGTTTATTACGTGTTATATTGTTAGTCTGTATGTGTGGAAATCAATATCTGTTACAGTGTATGCAAGTGGTTTTCAGTTTTCTGTACTTTAAGCATATGGTTTCCATCGTAGCCTTAGTTTCTGTATTTGACTGCAACTCTTGTAGAGACAATACAGGAACTCTATTGGGGTTATACAAAACTCATAGGGATGTTATTATTCTGTTATAAATACGTGTGCAATCTGTTCCGTTTCTGTTTCTGCATATAGTTTCAGTTTTGATACTAAAAGCTTGGTAAGTTCAATAGCAACCTTAAGCTTTGTAATTGTTTTAAATTACTGTAATCAAACCTTGGAGATGATAATAGAGTGATAATAAACCCTTAAGATCAGTTTAAGAAATAAACAGAAGGGTAGGGACTGACCAGAGAACGAGCAGATAGGTAAAAACGGAGCAGAGACTGAACTGGAGGCTCTCAAGAGGGAGAGAGCCGGCTCTAGGAAGTCAAGAGCCGGCTCCCCTTCAGCAAGAGCCGGCTCCTAGGGGATTGGAGCCGGCTCCAATAGGGGAAGAGCCGGCTCCTCCATTCCAAGAGCCGGCTCCAATTTATTTTTACGTCCAGAAAGTGGTTTTAGGGCTCTGTTTGGTGTTTTGAGCACTGTTTGGGCTTCTGAGTGATTCTAATGAATTGTAGGGACTTAACAGAGGATCTAAGTAGTTAATTTTAAGTGTTATTAAAATTAATGTTGCATGGTTTAAGCCTTTAAGACAAAGGATGAAGCAGTGTAAAAATTATACAACGGTGTATGCTACTAACAGAGAAAGGAACTGAATGGCTTGATTAAATTTTAGAAATTTAATGAGACTTCACGGAGGGATTAAATAGTTAATTTTTGGGTGTTATTAAGACCCTAAATTAATTTAAGGTTAATTCTAAATTAACGGATCAAACTGTATAACACTTATGTACAATTATATACGGTTGGTGGATGAATGAAGTTTTAAATGCTTAAGCTTATTTTTAGGCATTCCAGTGGGATGTAATATATTTATAAAATGGTCTTAAATATATTATGGGGTCATTGATGTGTTAGATGTAATCTATGCAGGCTCTGGAAGTTAGTTGTTGATTTATTAATTCATTCCCTGCAACTATATGGTTAATTGGTTGGATTTATATTGCTGAAACATTTAAAAATCTTCGGTAATTAATTGGATATTGGTTTTGGATTTTAAATTACTGTACTATCATTCGTAGTCTGTAATTTACATGGTTTTGGTTTTAAGTTGTTGAAATACTAAATACTATTCTACAATAATGTGGATGGTTGATTTTGGACTATAAATTACATGCTTATTATTTATGCCTTGTAATTTACCTGGAATTATGTATTGGAACATAATTGCTGAATTCTTATACTTAATTCGGTCAATTATTTGGAATCATATATTGGATTATAATTGCTTAATTCTTATATTAAACTTGACCAATTATTTGGAATTATGTATTGGATTTTAAGTGCTGAATTCTCACATCAAAATTCTGTCAATTATCTGGGTTTTGGTTTTGCATTGTAAATTACTTGCTTATCATTTGAATGTTGTAATTTACATGGATATGGAGGATGGTATGCACCGGTATGGGGCGGTGGCATACTAGGTATGGTTTAGCTCAAAATGCTAATTCCTACCTTATGGATTTTAATTGGTGAACAGTATGACTGGTTCTATCAATTATATGGACTTTGTGGATTGTATGCACCGGTATGGGACGGTGGCATACTAGGGACAGACTGATTTAAAATACTCAGTCCTACCTGTTTTGGAATAAGGGAACGGGTTGTTAAATAAATCCTCCTTATATATATATAAGTCGGTACGGTTGAATACGCCGAATGACTTATTGGATTTCTTGTGAATGGTTAGGAACGGAGTTTAGATATATATGTTTATGGTACCACGAGTTGAGCTTGAGTCTCAAACTTGTTGGTTAGGGTGCGTATATGCAGTGGACGTGTAGCTGGTTATAGTAGGTTGGGTGTACCCTGTTAGGTCTAGGTACTCATGCCCACCTTTGGGTGCGTATTCGCATGTTGCCTTCTATTCAGGTTGAGATCCCTACTGTAGTTCAGTGAATGTCCCATAGTGTGAATATATATATGTATGGACTAGATAGATATTGTGAGGTATCTATGGTGTATCTGCGTATCGGGTCACTGTATGGATTGCAGTTAGATTAGAACTTGCTAGTGGGCCTGACCCACCTTTTTATTATTTTTTTTCAGGTGTTCGTCAGTTCTGAACTGTAGAGCGTGATCGTGCTGAGCAGATACAGTTATTCACTCTACTGATGGCGTAGGATTTTATTTCATGTTAAGACTTGGGTTTTGTTCCAGTCTTTTGAGTACCATTGGATATTTTAGGGGTCCACTAGATGGATTCCCGAGTTGTATAAATTGGAGAACGATTTCCATTCGTGGTGGATCAGTTGTATCAAAATAGTTTTAATTATCAATGAAATTATTTATTCTGAGGTTTTCAATTATTGGATTATCATTCTAGGTTCTTTTCAGCAAAATTTTATTCATTCTTGTTTTCTATATTGAATTCTGTGTTCATTAAATTGCTAATTGTTTTGATATCCTCGGGTAATCGGGCGTGGGCCTGGCCAACCCGCATCCGGAAATCCGGGGGTATCACACTATCTAACTAGAGACTACTCATATGCTATAAATGCAAATTCATAGGTCCAAAACAAAATAAAAAAGGAATCATAAGAAAAGATATGTAGATGTTGAACGTGATTCATGAAACTAACTGAGATGAAATGGAAAAAGTGGGGGTAGGAGGGTTAGGCATTTATGCTTATGTCTGTAAGCACGCATACTATAAATATCCTGAAAAAAAGATAACAGTACTATAAAGTTAAAAAAAAAAAAAAAGGAAGCTCAAGTATATTTTGATTGATAATGTAGAAACCTCATAGAAAAATGCCTCCTTCTCAGCAGTAGTAAACTCTAGCCTACAAAAAGGACATTCAAGCAGAAATAACTACAAGGTTTTCCAATTTTGTTTGAGCTGCTAACTAGGATTTCTTTTTCTTTTTTTTCCTAGTTGGTACTCACACACACGTCTCTTCTGAGACTTGAACCCCTAACCTCCCTTTGGGAAGTAAGAGGCTGATACCGCTAGGCCACTGACCCATTGGTTGCTAACTACGATTTCATGCAAGCAATGAGTTGATATGTTACTTGTTACTATAAGTAAACGAAATAAAAGACAGAGAATGCAACACGGACCATTAGAAGTCCTCTCATATGCGTTGAAATAACAAAAGAAACCACACAAGGAATTCCTCAAACCTAGTCACAATTTACATAGGTTTCTGCCCAGGAAAAAAAAAAAATTACACAGGATTCTGCCATGTCCGAAAATATTGTACATACTGAAACAAAGACCAAACTATCTGGTAATTAAATCGAAGCATGTATTAATTAACTTTATGTTAAAGTTCTAACATAGTTAAGCTGCTATATGACATGACACAACTCTTCTAGCTGGATTCCTTATTTAACTACTCCATAAGCTAGCTTTGATTTAATTTGGGTATTTCTTTCTTCATTCAGAGTAACAATTCATTAGGCAAGTTTTTTTTACTTATCAAAAAAAAAAAATCATTAGGCAAGTTTGAACCATTTCTCATCTTTAAAATTATAAACTCTCCTGGTGATGAGGCTATGCAATTTCAATTAAAATAAGTTTGGTGATCTGACGTGTTAGTTGTGAGTTCGTATAAGTATTGATGCCCTTATACATGCTGCATTAGACTACATATTTGGGAATCATAAACAGCTGATGCATGGGTCACTTATGCTGCCACTGAAATAAAAAGTAAAGCACGCAAATTGATTCAAAGACTGATATGAACTATGCAAAGAAACCGAAGGTTTTCTTCTAAAAAATAAAACACACATACACACACACAGAGGAAGAAGAAAACAATCAGTGTCCAATTTTGTTGATTCTGATTTCAACAGTTGCTTACACATGACTCATTAATGATCTAGTTTCTCAAGAGAGCAGTAATCTTTTAATTCCATGCACACCGGAAAATGGAATGTATTAGTGCCTGATAACAGCTAACACTGCAGTTATCAGAAAGAAAAAGTGAAAAGAACGTTAACAGTCTTAGTTCAGCACCTTCCTCAAAACAAAGACTTTTATGTCAAATCTGAATAAAATGCCAGTGTCTCTCAAAAAAAGAGGGATTTGTTCTGTACATCATGAAGATTATGGGCTTCTGGAAGAAATTATCAGAAAGCATTGAGTTTTCCATTTACACATTGAAGTTCTCTGTTCACTCATCGGAACACCGGCAAGTCATTTCAGCAGCCCGAAAAGGGACCCGTGCCATCCCTTTGTTAACTTGGAGGCCTTAAGCCATATAATGAGAAGGTCAATGAGTGGTATGCTGAGAGCTTTCCAGAGAAGAGCTGTCGGGGAAAATCATTTGGTAATGTCTTACGTTTTATGTGAAGAGACAGGAGATTCATCCTCATCCGCTTTCAGGCCAGGTTAGACAGAAACTGCAATCATTGTGATTGTTCTTTGACAGCTCCCAGAGGCCCTATACAACGGCTTTCTGATGCAACATGCATAAAGGTTCTTACAGATCCCTGATAGTCATACTAAGATTATGTTTTTGAGTCTTTGACCTAACATATCTCTTTACCATTCTGACATCAGTAGACAAGAACTAGAGAGGCTTCATATGAATTTGTTAAGGGGTTGCCTCAATGAAATATCACCTGGTGGGGGCTGGAGATAGGGCAGAGTATGCATGCTTTTAAAGGTTGGAAGCGAGTGTTTCAAAGGATAGGTCCTTCATGTGAGAATTGAGATTGTTCTATACCGTACTTTTTAGGGGAGCTATGCCGAATTTCCCCTGGAAAGCAGTTTGGCAAACAAGAGCCCCTTTAGAAATGGATTTTTTTGTTTAAACAACAATATATAATGCCATCTTGGACATCTATAACCTAAGAGAAGGAATTACCAATGGTCGATGGGTGCTGCATGTGTAAGAAGGCTACGGATACTGTAATCTTATGTTGAATTGTTCAGCAGCATGGGCTATATGGTGTCCCTTGTTTTCTTTGTTTGATGTGAAGTGACAATGCTAGAGTCGGTGTCGGAGATTCTTGACATGCAAAAGGTGTTTGGAAAATCACCCGTGCATCATATGCCTATTCTCTATATATTCACTTAAAGAAATAGCATGCCAAGGTCATATATAGCAGCAACATCACATATAACACAGCAGTTAGCAAGAGTATTGCACATGCATTTCTTGCATGTTAAGTTGATTAAGTTCAAAATTATGCGCAATATACAATCCCCTTAAGAAGCTTTTGCTTGAACATAGTGCTCAGTGAACTAGCATGTTGCATAACATAGCACAAACAAAAGCTGCGAAAATACATTCATTTATACAGTGAACAATTACATGCTTATGTAGAATAACAATGAAGAATCCCATGTATCATGAATAATAGTTCATACTAGAAGAGGATATTCCAACATACATAAAAAGGAAATGCACTCATGCACTAATGTTGATAATAATAGCAATATTCTGCCACTTTGAATAATACAGATACGGACTTCCAACTGGTAAGGTTACCTAATCAAGCTTCTCTTGTCATCAGCTGTAAGGAACACCCGTTCTCTGATAGCTGCATCTCAGATTGCTGCAGCAGCCTGAAACCTTGCATTTGCTAGCTGAGAATTCTCTGGTTAAATTAAAGCATAGTTAGTATGAAAAGATAACAAATCTCATTGTGTGATCACTGATCTTTTAACTACCACCTTCATACACTCAAAAATTAGCTATAGGTTTGTGTGGTTCATTTCCTTTTAAATACGAAATCAATTCAATCAAATTAACAAAAAGTACATTACAAAACCTAATAGAACAAACAACAACCTTACAGTGATTCTGAGTTTCTGGAAGGTTCGGGAATATTCACACATTTAGATCATCACATATGGTTAGATGCACAGAAATATACTTACATGCATGCATGCAAATTCGTTCACATAAATCCTGATCTGTGGAATATCCTAGATCTCTCTGATCATAGATAAAGCAAATAAATCAACTCTACTGGCTACTGCTTCATAAGGAAGAGCCAACCACAGCACCATATCCTGTTCACTAACAAACGGTAATGTCATTAGTGAAAAGAATGCACCACAGAACCTCATCTATGTATCAAAACAGAAAAAGGAGGAGCTTAGTGCCAACCACTCGCAGAAAAGCGCCCATTAGATTTCACAATTTTCACTTGCCTTTATAATTATTCATGGTATGACAATATAGCTACCAAATATTAATATTCTTTTATCCTTTAAAACTTAAGTTGGCAATAATATTTAGGACCTCTTAAAATCTATAAGAGGCAATGCTTGTAACTGTCAATTTTGAGGACAAAATTCCTTTTCAGGAGAGCAGATTGTTATGACTAAAAGTGAACATAACTAATTTAAAACTTTTACTGGCATGCACATGCCATACCATGCACTTGCACCATACTGGATCTCAATCTCAAATAAAACAAAATAAATAATCAAAATGAAATATTATTTAGCGTCATATGTCTTCCTAAACCAAACAATAAATTTTTCTCTAGGGTTCAAGATAAACCCCAGTTGTCTTATGTGAGAGAGAGGATCAAGGAAGATTAGAAGACTACCAGGTAATTTAGAACATCAAAGGAAATTATATATTATACTCTTTAGTTAGGGTTTAAAATTGTTGCTCATGTATTTTAGTTTGTGATTATTTTTTAAGTTATTATCTTCTCGAATCATGAGACTAGTTTAAGTACTATAATGAAATTGGAAATTTTGATTTAATAATTAAAAAAGTGCTTGATTAGGAGCTTGATATGGTAAACTCAAGTGGACGTATGCGTATATACACATCCAAAATTAATAGTGTATTTCTTGGCATTGCTGCTTCTCATGCTTGATTGGAAGAACTCAAATCTATAGTATCAAACAGCAAGGCTTCCTACTTGAAATAGTACTATGTTCTCTATTTTCAAATCCCTGGTATCAATCTAGTTACAACCTATGTTACATGGACTCTTCAAAAAGACATGTTGGACATATGCACTTGGACAGGGGTTACTGTACAGATACGTGTCCGAAAATTTTGGTTGGACATGTCCATAAAGTATATCCAAAAAAAAATTTTTTATTAGATTATTGCTTTAGAGAAAGTTAAATGCCTATTTTGAACACTACGATACTGATTTTACTTCAGGGAAAAAAAAAAAAAAAAATGAATAAATATTTAGCAATTTCTTTCTGTCTTATTTAGGAAGTTGATACATTAAATGCTCGAACACAAACCAGCATCCGACGCATGCACACAAGTCCAGGTAACATACGTTATAACAATGCAAGTTCTATAAATAAGAAATTAAGAAGAGACTAAAAGCATCACACACTGATTCACCTCAAAAGAAAAACTTATTTTCAGATACTTTCAAATTATAAGATAGCAATTAACAGGCTTAAATCGCGAAGCACAATTTGCGCAGGTAACCATGAGGATAGGGGTGACGACAACAACAATAAACAAACAACTGAAACAATGCTTCCAATGTACAGAGCAACTGAACATCATTATATCATTTTTCTCCTAGATCTAATTTTGTACAAGGGAAGCATAAAAAAAAAATTAATAATAATTCTCATTGGATTGAACTTCATTACTTACGATTCCTAATGTAAAAATTCTGTTATCAGTTTAAGAATTTGCAATCCACTAAAAAAAGAATCTCATTTTTAACTAGGGTTTTCAGGAAGTTTTGCCACTCTTGGCTTTAAACATAGTACGGTTTTGTTGTAATTCCAGTAACCGATTTGGGATTTCTTCAGATGATATATATTGCACATTTAATTGATAATGATGATAGGGTGGACTTTTAGTGCATGTAAAAAAAAAATTCACATAGATTGTGGGATGTAACAGGATCATGACAAAGCCATGCCATTTAGTATCTTGTTTGAGCACAACTGTTAGGACTTAGTCTCGTTGTGTGTTGACAAATTTAGTGTCAAAAATTCCGACTTAACTTTCTTGAGTCTTAAGTCAGTTGGGTATTGTTCCCAATGAGAGACATGTACTGAGTGACTGAGTTGTCACATAGGAGACTAGGACAATGGAAATTCAAGGAAGTACTAGTGATTCACATATTAGAATCGAGATAAAATTGTCTGGATGTGTTAGTCCTTTCATATTTTAGTTTTGGAATGTTTAAACTTGTTTTGGAATTACTTTGAAAACATTTTGAAGTGGTTTAAATAGATTTTAACAATCTGAGCATCTGATCACTGCTAGGTGGTAGTCAATTTTTTGAGCACAAATAGATTTCCTGTTTTGTTTGTGTACATGGGACGCGTTCCCCTTTTGAACCCTTTTTATGAATTTTTACTTATAAAAAATATATATATATTTTGAGCACAAATACTCAATCCTCAAGTGAGGTAAGTTGCCGGTTACTTAAAATTTGAGCACTAGTACTCAGAGGCACAATGAGCTGATTAAGTGGTAACTCAAAATGTAAGCACAAGGACTCAAATCGCTAGGTTCAAAAAATTTGGTTTCCGAACTTAAAAGGATGACTTTTTGGACAAAACTCAGTCTGTCAATCAGTTTCAAAATTGTTCAAGGTTAAGGATTAGGGTTTCCCACCTATATAAAACCATGTTTTTATAAAAGAGAGAGAAGCGCATACAAATAGACACATCTTTAAAAAACTAATAGAGCATGCTACTAAGTCTTCTTAAGTTTCAAAAAACTTCTCTAGAACAAGCTACTCTTGGATTGAAATTACACACTTTCACTGAGATACTGGGTGTTTTACTTGTGTGATGATCAAGACTTCTCTAGTGGATTGAGAAGGCAAGTTTCAAACTGCAGAGACACATATTGTATTTGAAGGATTGGACAACGTGCAAGAGAAATCAATTTGATAGACACACATCAAGGAGCATGATTTGAGGCTTGGAGAGGTTGTACAGTGGGTTTCCAAGGCTGAGAATCCAAGATGTTTGATGGATGGTGCCCTTGTGTGTTTGGTGGGGTTTGCGGACGGAACAGAATAGGAGACCCTTTGACGGAGAGGAGACTCTTGTTGGGATGCTTAAGTTCTCCATTATTAGTTCTCTTTTTTGTTGGGCATTTGGGAGAAATTGTAAATTCAAGGGGGAGATATGGATTTTTTTTTTGATCTATTGAGAGATTAGGGGCTATTGTGTAGACTGTAGCCTGTTGCAGATTGCGTTCCCCAGTTGATCGTGCTATTTCTAATGAGACTTTAGTTATCCAATAAAGATTAGTGAAAAAACAGCAAACACAAAGGAAAAAAGAGAGGAGAGAGAGAGAGGACAGCAACAAAGCTTAGTGGAGTCTTTGGCAAAAGTCTGGTTTGGAGGTAAAGTAAGCCGAATAATGATTATAAGGCAAAGACTAGCATGGTATTGTCATATTAGTTTGACTTCTTAGTAACTGTTTGGCTCTAGTCTAAGTCCAGTGTTTTTCAAAGTAAAAACTTGTGTCCCGCACATTGCTAGCTCCCGTTATTCTGCTTAAACATTTGCTATTTCATTTATCTAGTGGCTGTGATGAATAAAACGAAAGGAAATTTAAATTGAAGCAAAATTTAAAAGAGAAACCAATATGAGTAATCCCATTTTCATTTATCTAGTGGCTGTGTATCTGTGCATAGTTTATCTTAGCATGTAATCCCATTTTCAATTGGAAAGCCAACGGAGAATGTAATTCACTCACTGATACTAAAAGCCATGCAATAAAACCCAGTCACTGATTTAAAATGTTATGTAATTAATTAAATATAATAATAAAATATTGGAAGTGATTCAACAACTCTAAAATAAATGCTGAAATGAAATAGTCTTTGTCCTTGTATTACATATATTATAAGGATGTGCTTGTGTGTGTGGCCCGGGCAAGTGTGTGTGTATATTGGCAAATATTTCTTGAATAAACATATAGCATAAATAGTAACAAGTTACCAGAGTCTATTTTAGGGATCAATCAGATTATATTAGCTGGAGTTGAACAAACATTATTTTCTACCTTTCTTAGTACTTGAAAAAGTTTATGTTTATTTATAGATTATAGTACGTGGTTTTGGTTCAATCTCAATAACTCCTCCTATTATAATCTTTTGGGACTGTGTGTATAACTGGGTTCTTCCAAGTATGTGGTTTTGGTTCAATTTCAAGAACTTCTCTAATTACAATCTTTCAAGTGACTCTGTGTATAACTGGGTACTTCCTAGTATGTGGTTTTGGTTCAATTTCAAGAACTTTTCCAATTATAAACTTTTACGTGTCTGTGTATAGCAGGGTTCTTCCTAATATGTGGGTTTGGTTCGAAATTCAAGAACAACTCCTATTGTAATCTTTTATGTGACTGTGTGTATAAATGGGTTCTTCCAAGTATGTGGTCTTCAAGAACAACTCCTATTATAATCTTTCATGTGTATGTCTCTATAACTGGGTTATTCCTTCTCCTTACCTGTATCTCACAGTTGGCAATACGAAGAACAGAAGATCCAAAAAATTAACCAAGAACCCGGAAATCACAAAATCTTATATACATTTCTTTCTGTTTCCAACCAAACAGAGCATTACAAATTCTTAAAAAATCAAACAATCTGAAAAAAATGAAAAAAGAAATTGAGAGAAAGAAACAAAAGAAAAACCTGAATGGAACTGCAACCATGTTCGATTTCTCCGTACGGATGCCTTTGATGCGTCTTTACTCACTATACAGTGACGGGGACGAAATGAATTGTTTATAGAGATGTGTGTGTGTGAAGAGAGAGGGCTTTGCCAGCAGAGGGGCAAATGACTTCTTCGAAGGGGGAGTGTTATTTTACAGGGTTTATGTAATGGCGGTTTCTTGCACCTTCATTAAAAACGAAAGATAAATAAATAGGTAAAAATAAAATAATTATCTCTAACCAAAAAATAATAAGAATTCTAGTATAATAAAACAAAAGTTTTTTTTGTTTTTTTTTTTTCAAGTAAAACGCAAGGTAAGTCTTTGATTAATTAAATTTTTAACATAATGCATTTTCAATTTTTCACACAATTCAAAATTTAAAATAAAATAAATATAATACAAAATAATTAAAATATAACATTTATAGTAAATTAGACAAATATTATTTTGGGACAAAATAAAAATATACACATACTCAATTATAATTCATGGCAACATTTAAACAATTAACAAAACATATTTAAATAATGAGAAAATATATATATGCATTGGTGGAAAACACATGATACATCATAAACTCAATTATAAAGTAATTAAATGAATTTAGGTTTTTAAAAATATGAAAATTTGATTTTAGTATGAAATAAAAGGCTTTCCTTTTCTTATAAGAAAGCAAAGATTTAAAATCTATGATTCTTTTTCAAATAAATAAATAATAATGACTAAATTTTTAAAGTCATGAAAAACCAATAAAACAATAATCAAACTTTTTCTTTTTCTTTTTTTGTTTAAATTTTTTTCCTAACTTGTGACTGTGTCCAGTTTCGACGGTGAGAACAAGTGTTGGGAGAATTAACGTAAAATCCAATTTTGACGGAAGCGTTACGAAGACACTCCCATGGCCTCATGCAACCAGGACTTCCCTGTCATCGCCGAAGACGCCGCCGATAAATTCACCGGCGCCGGTAACTCTCCCGGGTTCTACTCTCAGAATGCCGACGCTAACTCCTTCGCCGACTCCGACGACGAATCCTCCGACCAGAATCGACTTTAAAGAACCATTCTGAACGTGAAGAGAGGTTCCTACTACCACAAGAAGTTCAAGCACGGCGGTGTAGCCGATTCCCCCGAGTTGCGAGTCGATCACCGGAAGGATCGCTACTCAACGATAGCGTGTCTTCTTGACATACAGAGAAGTATATGCAGTTGAATTGGAGTATTTTATGGGGGAGAGATTGGGAGGAGGTGGCCAATTAAGATCGTGAATGATAGGTGCGATACGCAGAAGTCTGGTAAGAGTGTGTAACAGTGTAAGAACAAGATTGATAATTTGAAGAAGAGGCACAACATTGAGAAACCGGGACTGGTTGAACTATAATTCATTGCTTTCTCTGGTTGAATCTATTGTCTAATTGGCATTTTAGGGAAAATTGATGGTGCCTTAATATTTTAAATTTTAAACAATGTTATTGTTAGGAGATTCAGAATGATTTTCTGAGGCTCTGGGATGTCGATCCATGGCCAAGAAAATAACTGTTCCATTTTAATGTAAGTTCAGTTTTTTTTTTTTATCATTCATAAAAAATAAAAATAAAAATAAAAAGTAGAGTTTTTTTTTTTTTTTTCCTTTTTTTATGGGAAATTGGTTTTATACTCCCATGTATAGCTGTATTGTTGGCTTCAATTTAAATTTTATTTAAAAAAAAAAAAAAAAAAAATGAATTGCTTCCATAGTATGCGAACAATCTAACAATGAGTATGTAAGGAAGTAGAAGGTGAAAATTGTGTGTGGCCTTTAGGCATAACCTTAATGTAATGAGAGGGTATGTGACAGTGCATGACGATGATTTAACTTGTTGGTGCTTCTTCTATCGTCTAGCCTTTTAGCCTCATCAGGTTGTTGTTAATTTGCTTTGAGATATATGAAATAGAAGATCCTTTGAGGTATGAAAGCTCTATTTTTATTTTTATTTTTATTTTCGAAAGGTAAAATGTTAATAAATAAGAAGTATAAACTGAAGAGGATTTGCTTATTTTTTGGACAGTGTTAGGATATATTGGTGTATTTTGTACAGTCGTTCCTTGGGTGCACTCCTCTTTGAGGTGTTCTCTAATGAAAATTTACTTTGAAAAAATGTGCTTCTAGATTTGTCTGAAATACTCCGGTTCTTCCATGACTATGTAAATATGTTCTTGTATCCCTAGCTCTTTTATTCATGGCAGTTAATATTATCGAAGCGAACTGTTGCGATCTTGAAATTTCAAGGATCTTTTAAGGCCCTACCCAGGCTAGGTTGGTGACTTTACCAACTCGTGATATATAAGAATTTGAGGATCTCATGAAGCTGGTTTTTCTAAAATATATCAGTAGTGATATTTGTCAGCTTCATTTTTGCTTAGTATTACATGAACTTACTATAAACAATACACAACTTCATAGTGTTTACTTTTACTTTTTTTATTTTCATTTATTTTTTTTGAAAAAGATAGTTACCAATATGACAGCTCATGTACGACAACATAAAAAGGACGTTCTATATAATAACCCTCTTCAAATCTGGAAGGAAAAGTTCAGTAGTACTAGCCATAAATCCAGACAGATTGTGCTCCTATATTAATAGAAAACTCTCTTTTAGTTCGGAATTTATTTTTTTTCTTTATGCGACAGGAAACAAGAAGATTTTATTCAAATAATTGACCATGTATAAAGTTGAGCATGACATCTAACTCTGAAGTGGAAACAAACAACCTCAATTCCAAGTAAGGTTGCACCATCTTTGCCAAGAAATAGGCCTTACCATATATCTAAGAAGAGAAAACTTATAAAAGAAAAAGAAAAAGAAAAAAGAAAAAGGGCAAATTACATTTAACACTTACTAGATTTTCATTTTGTACACCTAAATAAAAATATGCGCGATATATTCATCAACCATCCTTGTGGTTTCACTCTTGAGTGATACATCAAATCAATGTAGGGTAATTATACTTTTGGACATAAATAACCTTGATATTGTGAGAAGACTAAATTGTCCATTAATTGAATTAAAATTATATCATTCAAAAAAGACAAAAGTGCCCTCTCTGTTTATCTCTACGTCAGCCATGCAAAACTTTTTCCTCCACCATTTGAATTAAGTTTTGCATGGAACATTAATGGTTCATCAAACCAATGTCTTACACTAACCCATGTTTTGCATGTAACTGCACAACTTACGCTATGTTAGGAATAGCCAAGACAATGGTCTTTGGAAGCATCTTTATTTTTTGTGTTTCAGTTATGATCATGTTATATGCTTGTGTATCCTAGTGACAGGGACATTGGTCATGTGGTGTGGTATTTTTTGAAAGTGTGGTACAATATATTATATTATCCTTACTAATTTACCAACATATACAAACCAACAAGTCATAAATATTACATCATATAAGTTCTCAAATACCAATGCCAACAAGCATATTCATGTTCCATACATACTGATTTACAAAACAAGGTACCCACATAACTTACACACAAGTTTACTGCCTATACACATAAACTAGTGAGGCCAAAAAAGAACATGTTTAAATTAGCAAGTATTGTCCACATAATCAAAAATAAAGGTGAGCCCATTAAGAAGGGGTAACAACGTAAGTTACCCTCATCAATTTCCTTCCAGATTTTTCTTTTGAATAATGGTTAAGTGCCTTAAAGTTATATATGTAAATTAATTTTCATATCCAAAAGTCAAGTATTCAATTTGGACATTACTGCTATATTTTCCATTCTTCTATTTAACTGCATAATATGTAAACCACGTGGGTGTTAGATGTAATTTGCCCAAAGAAAAAAGATCTAAGAGGAGAAAAACATCAATAGCAACTAACATATCGCAAGCTTGCTACGTTGGTGTTGAGGTATTTCCTAGATTCCCTTTTGTTTCTCACTTTGCTACCCATTTCGTTACCTTCCAAAACATTGATTTTCCTTTCTTTTTTTTTAATGATTGCAAGATGCTTATGAAATGTAGGTGGCAATTGTAGTTGGAGGTCGTAACTTTTTTGTGGGGACTCGTCAGCTACTGGTCTAGATAGACCTACAGCGTACCAACTTAGGTAAATTTCCTATTGACTGTCATGCTTCGTTTTCCTCTACAAACCAACTTGCATTTGATCTGAATTAGCATTTGAATGCTACCATACCTTGATTATGCCTTTCCTAAATTTAGGATTTTTCTCCATTTTTGCTTATTATATTCAAGCCCAAGCAATTCATGTTTCAGTTCACAAGCAATGTTTAAAACATGTGCATGTTGCATCATGACCAGAAAAAGTTACAATTCCTATTCAGATTGAAGTTACAACCCATCAAAGTTGCATCATTCAAAACATACAAGCACAAAAGTGTATGTCAAGTCACATTACAGATCCCGTAAACACCCTAACAGCATACAAAAACAAGAAGTCGGCCTTGTCCAAGCTAGGGAAGAAGAAGCTCCTCATCTGCAATGTCCTCATACATGCACAAAAGTGTATGTTAAGTCACATTACAGATCCCGTAAGCACTCTAATAGCGTACAAAAACAAGAAGGAAGCCCTGTCCAAAGCTAGGGAAGAGGAAGCTCCTCATGGGTAATGTCCTCACCTGAAAAAGGTATGAATTCAATGGGGTGAGCAAATAATATTCCGTAGAATGATGTACGTATTATACAAATAATCTACGTTCCCTTGGGCCTTAAGAACCTAGCGTATGCCATATGGGACATGCTCCCTACCGTCTAGTTAATGGGAAAGCCTGGAAGCATCATCCTACAACTAGCAAAACAGCAATATACTACCATTTTTTCAAGTAAACATATACGATGGAAATTAATGAGGCCGCTCCTATAAGCCAAAATAATGTAGTGAATGTGCGGTTCAAGAAAAGTATTTTAGGTCAAGTTTAAATTTATAAAAACCACTACCACCACTACTACTAACGTAGCCAGAATGAGTAGGGGTCGTCCCAAGGGATTATACGTGTTGGAATTTAACTTCGACTTTAGCGTATCACAAGATTGCAAAAAAGGGTTTGTTGGTTAATTACTCTGGAAAATAATTAAATTAAAATTCAATTAAAGTAAACTAGTAAGAGATGGGGATTTAAAAGATATGAAGAGAGGTCTTAGGGTGTTGGAATCACCACTAAGCTCGTGTAATTAACCACTTGTTTTCCATTAATAAAGAATACATTGTTGTGAACAAAATGCGACTACCAATTGCAATATTAAGCATGGACCATCAAATTCATGTATGAATTGTCTACCTAACTGACAAATAAAC